TATGTAGTTCGGGTCTGATGACAAATAAGGACTTGGAAATCTAACCTGGGTCAACACCTGTCAGCTCAATTTCCTCACATGCACACTTATGCCAGAATTTGCAGTTGGTAAACAATAGAGAACTTCTGATAGCTCCAAGCCTACATTTGGCCAAGGGCGCAGCAGCAGCTAACTGCAAAGTCTCAATGGAGAATGTCCTGGTCAGTCATGCCCCAGATCTGTTCCTGAATGTTTGATGGTAATATTTTCAGTTCCATCAATGAGGTGATTTTCAGTTCTATCGACAAGGGGCTGGGTTGCCTTAAGACACCTTTGTGCAAAAATTTGGCTGAAAGCGACACAAATACTACTGTGAACACCAGGGCAGAATTGTTGTTGTTTAGTCGTTTAGTCGTGTCCGACTCTTCGTGACCCCCTGGACCAGAGCACGCCAGGCGCTCCTGTCTTCCACTGCCTCCCGCAGTTTGGTCAAACTCACGCTGGTAGCTTCGAGAACACTGTCCAACCATCTCGTCCTCTGTCGTCCCCTTCTCCTTGTGCCCTCCATCTTTCCCAACATCAGGGTCTTTCCCAGGGAGTCTTCTCTTCTCATGAGGTGGCCAAAGTATTGGAGCCTCAGCTTCACGATCTGTCCTTCCAGTGAGCACTCAGGCCTGATTTCCTTAAGAATGGAGAGGTTTGATCTTCTTGCAGTCCATGGGACTCTCAAGAGTCTCCTCCAGCACCATAATTCAAAAGCATCATTTCTTCGGCGATCAGCCTTCTTTATGGTCCAGCTCTCACTTCCATACATCACTACTGGGAAAACCATAGCTTTAACTATACGGCTTTAACTATACGGACCACCTGGAGCAGGAACCGGCAAGCCACTGCAGTATCCCTGTCAAGAAAACTCCATGGACGAAGACAACAGGACAGAATTACTACAATGTTAATCTGATGGGCCTTTACTTGAAGCCTGTGGGTGAGTTAACTGTGAGGAGAAGGCTGGCTGCAGGCCTGGTTCTGCGGCTCCTTCTCACATTCACGGCAAGCTTTTCTTCTGAAAAGCCCTAAGGCCTCCTCTTTATGGCAAAAGAGTCCACTTCCGCTGTCCGCATCTGAGAAAAAAGAGAAGCCTAGCTTTTTCATGTTGGCTGCCAATTCACTCCTTTTCATAGCAAATCAGGAACAGATATGCAAATAACTGGGCTTGACTTCTTTGGGGCAGAGGCAAAATATTTTCCTAATCTGAAGCTGAAAGTTGCTCTGCTATGCTTGATTTGCGCTCTTTGCAAGTCTTTAGGAGGCTCCAGAGGTCAGTGCCTGAAACGCAGTTTAACCTGTTGCCTGTTGGCCTGAAAGGAGGATTTCCCCCTCCCGTGTTTTGAACGTGGAATAAAATAATGTGGTCTTTCTCTTTGCAAGCATGTAAAATGTTGGTGAATATTTGCTGAGGCGGGGGGGGGGTCAGTGTTTCTGTTCTAAACCACTGAAATGTTTCCGGTTCACCAAGGACTGCAGTTCTAAACCAAGTGTGAGGAGGCTCTGGCCTTCTGGATATTGCTGAACTACAACTCCCCAAAGCCCCAGCAAGCATGGCCAATGGTTAGGATGATGGGAGTTGTAGTTCAGCAAAATCTGGAGGGCCAAAGGTTCCTCCAAACCCTTTTAAAACCCATTTATTAGGGACTAAGTCCCATTTAACTCAATTGGACTGTTCTGAATAAAAATGTATAGGACTGTACTGCAGTTGTGTTCTGGGCAGTAAGGAGTATTTTACTCACACTAGTTGGGTGAACAAATGACAAATTCTCTCTCTCTCTCTCTCTCTCTCTCTCTCTCTCTCTCACACACACACACACACCCACACACACACACCCACCCCTCAATCCATGTTTAACACACTCCTAAGTTTGGAGTGGGACGCGGGTGGCGCTGTGGGTTAAACAACAGAGCCTAGGACTTGACGATCAGAAGGAATCCCCGCGACGGGGTGAGCTCCCGTTGCTCGGTCCCTGCTCCTGCCAACTTAGCAGTTCGAAAGCACAAAGTGCTAGTAGATAAATAGGTACCGCTCTGGCGGGAAGGTAAACGGCGTTTCTGTGTGCTGCTCTGGTTCACCAGAAGCGGCTTAGTCATGCTGGCCACATGACCTGGAAGCTGTACGCCGGCTCCCTCGGCCAATAAAGCGAGATGAGCGCCACAACCCCAGAGTCGGCCATGACTGGACCTAATGGTCAGGGGTCCCTTTACCTTTAAGTTTGGAATAACAATTCTAATTCCATAGGTGAATGTGACAATAATTTAGACTAAGGGCAGGGGAGAGACTTATATTCTATTTTTCGTTGTTTTGCTGCTCTGTAAAAGCACAATATACAGTGATGGCACCAAATACAGAATTCTTGTTGTTTTCATAGTTGCCTTTGTTAGTAGTGGCATATGTATTATCCCATAATAAATGTATGTTGTTTAGAGTAACTCTTTAGGAATATTATACGAAACACACTTCAAGAGAGGATGTTGGTGAAGGACCAGTCCATGTCTAAATTGCAAGGAAAGTCTTTCCATGAGAGCTTCTTTAACTGATATCTATTCCTTGAGCTTTCTAGGCTGTATCCATGTGTTAAGACAGACCATCAGAAACCTAACAATTTGGAGTTAAATATCCGAGTTCAGCCGCAGGAGAAATGTTGTAACGTCAAGTAAGTTTGTGTGCTTTTTGCTGTTGGACAAGGAAAATTTACGTTACCTTGCATGTTTCTCTATTTGTGTTGGCTGCCAATAAATTGAGAGCCAAATTTGTGGTTCAACTCTGAACGTCTTTGTTGTTGTTATGGCTTATACCTAAACAAATAAATATCTTGCTACTACTGCTGACTCCTGTGGGGCATATGCTATTCTGCAAAGCACATGCCATGCAGGGTTAAGCTACCGATTTGCAACTTTAGTTGCGTTAATTTACCATATTTTTCGCTCTATAAGACGCACCAGACCACAAGACGCACCTAGTTTTTGGAGGAGGAAAACAAGAAAAAAAATATTCTGAATCTCAGAAGCCAGAACAGCAAGAGGGATCGCTGCGCAGTAAAATCCCTCTTGCTGTTCTGGCTTCTGTGATAGCTGCGCAGCCTGCATTCGTTCCATAAGACACACACACATTTCCCCTTACTTTTTAGGAGGGAAAAAGTGAGTCTTATAAGAGCAAAAAATACGGTATATCTTTCACTTCCCCCATGACTTTAGACCTGGATTTTAGCTTCATCACAAACTTGGAAGGTAGGTTAGGGTGATAAATGGTTTCATAATTGTCACATAATGAATTCTGCAGGCAGTCAGGGCATTAAACCTGGGTTTCCTCATGCCCAGCCTAGCATTTTGGCTGTTATACCACACTGATTTCATTTCATCTTTGCTTTTCCCCATTCCCAAGGTGTGTTCCATTTAATACACATTTGTTTACGTGGTTAACATATGATTTCCAACTGTGCGATTTCCTATCCTGCTATAGCAATAATAATAGGAAAATGATTTAAGAACGTACGCAAAATAAACCCCAGCTGCTGAGATCTGGTTTCTTTTCAACCGGTTTCGGACCTTTTGTTTATCTAGCATGTCTTTTTCCATGCAAATTTTTGCCAGAGAACATCTTCACCATCGGCAAATGTTTATTTTTTAGAGGGGGGGGAAACCCCCTTTATAAACCCCACAGTCCCTTTGCAGCTCTGGAACGACATACAAAGACTTCCCTATTTATTGTAATGTTGGAAACAGCTCTCTGTCTCTGGGTGAGGGTCTCCATCTGAATGTGTCCTCGTGTACACACATTGTACGTGTGCAGCCATTCCCTGACACACTGGACTATTCAAGTGTAGTTCAAATCCAGAGATACAACAGCAAGCTGTGCCTCCCTTTTGGTGTCCCTGCCGCTCACCATGAATTGGAGAGCAACTGTCTGAAGCAGGGAGCCTTGAGGATCTGAGAAAGTTCAGTAGCAGCTAAAAAAGTTTAGCGGCAGCTAAAAAAGCAAATGCAATTCTGGGCTGCATCAATAGGAGTATAGCATCTAGATCAAGGGAAGTAATAGTGCCACTGTATTCTGCTCTGGTCAGACCTCACCTGGAGTACTGTGTCCAGTTCTGGGCACCACAGTTCAAGAAGGACACTGACAAACTGGAACGTGTCCAGAGGAGGGCAACCAAAATGGTCAAAGGCCTGGAAACGATGCCTTATGAGGAACGGCTAAGAGAGCTGGGCATGTTTAGCCTGGAGATGAGGAGGTTAAGGGGTGATGTGATAGCCATGTTCAAATATATAAAAGGATGTCACATAGAGGAGGGAGAAAGGTTGTTTTCTGCTGCTCCAGAGAAGCGGACACGGAGCAATGGATCCAAACTACAAGAAAGAAGATTCCACCTAAACATTAGGAAGAACTTCCTGACAGTAAGAGCTGTTTGACAGTGGAATTTGCTGCCAAGGAGTGTGGTGGAGTCTCCTTCTTTGGAGGTCTTTAAGCAGAGGCTTGACAACCATATGTCAGGAGTGCTCTGATGGTGTTTCCTGCTTGGCAGGGGGTTGGACTCGATGGCCCTTGTGGTCTCTTCCAACTCTATGATTCTATGATTCTATGAGTACCCACAGGAAAACCCTGTGAAATCAGGGTGGCAGATTCCACAGAGAGGCTATGGGAGGAGAAGCTGATTCCCCACTTCAGAAACCTGCCATCCAACCACTGAGGGCAACAGGAACAAAGGCCTCATCGGCACATTTAAAGCAGTATCATGCCATCTTAAACTGTCATGAATTCCCCATAGGCTCCCTGGAACTGGATGTGTGGATCCAGAATTTGCCTCCACGGTCACTTATGGACCCATTGTTTCTGTTTTGTTTTTTTGTTTTCGACTCCCATATTTTAATGCAGCATCAAACCAATCTAACAGCAGAACAAAATACGGACTCCCCGAACCCCTCCACTTCCTGCCCAAGGCCTGGCGCATCTCCCACCCCCCACCTGCCACCTTTCAGAGGGTGGAGAACCGGGGCAGGTCGTTTCCGAGGATGACCTTGCGCTCCACGCCACCCTTGGTGATGGCCGCCAGGCGGATGACCCTCCCGCTGGAGCCGTTGCGGTCCATGGCCAGGGCGAGGGCGTTGTCTGCGAAGCTCAGACACTCCTCCTTGCTCATCCCCGACTTGTAAGTGGTGTCGACGAAGCCGTAGATGTAGGAGCTGCCGGAGCCCCCGATGGAGAAGGGCTGGCAGACCATCGTGCCCCACATGGGGACAGAGTACACCTGTCCCCCTTTGCGCTTGTCCCAGCCGGCCACGAGGATCCCAGCTGTGAGGTCCTCTCGGTAACGGTAGCACATCTCCTTGAAGAGGCTGGCGGCTGTGTGCACCAATGGGCGCTCATCCAGTTCAATGCTGTGGAAGCCCAGCTGGTACGTAACGTCGTCCGCGATGGCCTGGGTGTCAGCAGCGGAGCCCAAATGGCAGCAGAAAATGTGGTCGTGGATCTGCGTCAGCTTGTCGGTGACGCGGTTGGCAATGTATGAATAATAATAATAATAATAATAATAATTTATTATTTATACCCCACCCATCTGGCTGGGCTTCCCCAGCCACTCTGGGCGGCTTCCAAAAAAATATTAAAATACTGTAATACACCAAACATTAAAAGCTTCCCTAAACAGGGCTGCCTTCAGATGTCTTCTAAAAGTCTGGTAGTTGTTGTTCCCTTTGACATCTGGTGGGAGGGCGTTCCACAGGGTGGGCACCACTACCGAGAAGGCCGTCTGCCTGGTTCCCTGTAACTTGGCTTCTTGCAGTGAGGGAACAGCCAGAAGGCCCTCAGTGCTGGACCTCAGTGTCCGGATAAAACAGGGTGGGGGAGACGTTCCTTCAGATATACTGGACCAAGGCCGTTTAGGGCTTTAAAGGTCAGCACCAACACTTTGAATTTGCTCGGAAACGTACTGTAGGTCTTTCAAGACCGGTATTATATGGTCTCGGCGGCTGCTCCCAGTCACCAGTCTGGCTGCCTCGTGGTGGTCCTGGAGTCAGCACCGATGACGACCCCACCGTCAAATTCCACAGCCATGACGTCCCAGTGGTGACGGCCTGCTGGGTCCAGTCCAGGCACCACGCCTCCATCCCAACGCTTGGCCTCAGCATCGCCGGCGCCGCCATCTTGGATCTCTTACGGACCCATTGTTAAAACCGTGTTTATGGAAGACAATCTTACTCGGCTACAAGTGATTGCCAAAGAAGAAGAAGAAGTTTGTTAAACGTGCTAGAAGAGTTGTTAGGAAACGATTCCTCTCACAAAGGCATGGTTCTCGGAGTTCCTTTGGAAGAGGGATTGATTGTTAAACCACTCTGAGAATTTTCCGAACCTTCCTCCTTCTTAGGGAATCCAAAGAAGGAATGTGAAGTATTTTGGAGGTGTGGAAGATTGTGGGCTACGCACCTTGGCTGAAGAAACCCTCCTGATTCACAGACCCCTTTTGCCACATTAAACTTTTCCCACTAGGTGGTGTTTCCTCTGCACTTCCTGTGTAATCTAATTTACTCCATTGCTGTTGAAATGCCCGAGGCACTTAATGACAGTAAAAAATTAGCAACCACTATGATTATAAATAAGTCTTAAAAGCATCTCTATAATCATAATTAAGTACAATTATCCCTAAAAGCAACTATTAGCATAACAATAGATGCTAAAAGCAACAACCTATAGTCACAGAGTCAAAGCTCGTAAATTAAAAGCTAGGCAGAACAGTACTGTTTTCACTCTACACTTGAAAGTATATCTTCTTCTTATTTATCACACATCGCGTACCGGGGTTTTCATCAAAGAAGCTCAGGGCAGCATGCATGGTTCACCTCCCTCCATGTTATCGTCACAACAACCCTGTAAGGTGCGTTAGGCTGAGAAATAGTGACTGGCCCAAGGTTATCCAGTAAGTTTCATCACTAAGTCCTCACCTGCACATTATGTTGAAGCAATATCATTCCGAAGGATCCTGGGAAGTTAACCCTGTAGTTAAGGGTTCTGAGAGTTGATAGGAGATTCCTATTCCCCTCACAGACCTGCAATTCCTGGAGCAGTTTAACAATCAATCCCAGGTAACTCTGAGAACTAGCTCGGAGTGGGGGGGGGTAGTTTCCTAACAACTCTCTCTCTCCCCCCCCCAATACTTTTTATTGCTATTTTGTAACAACAACAAATAAAACAAATACTCTTACATTCAAAAAATTGCATGTCTTCTTATTTACCCTGCGCCTTATTCCGCCCGGACTTCCTTCCATCCCTTCAACGGTTTTCATATCTCAAATCTTTTCTTACAGTTTCTTATTTACACTCCATCCACATCACAAGACTTACATTAATCCTGCTACAGTTTTTAGATTCTAACAATTACTCCGTATATATTCAACAAATTTACTCCAATCCTTTTCGAACTTTGCTTCTTTTTGGTTCCGAATCTTATAAGTCAATTTCGCCAATTCTATGTATTCAAACATTTTTGTCTGCCACTCCATTAAAGTTGGGATTTCTTGGGTTTTCCATTTCTGAGCCACTAAGATTCTAGCGGCGGTTGTTGCATGCATGAATAGTTTGTAATCTTCCTTTTTAAATTCATCCCCTGTTATCCCTAGCAAAAATGCTTCTGGTTTCTTTGGAAAAGTGTATTTACCGTATTTTTTGCTCTATAAGACTCACTTTTTCCCTCCTAAAAAGTAAGGGGAAATGTGTGTGCGTCTTATGGAGCGAATGCAGGCTGCGCAGCTATCCCAGAAGCCAGAACAGCAAGAGGGATTGCTGCTTTCACTGCGCAGCGATCCCTCTTGCTGTTCTGGCTTCTGAGATTCAGAATATTTTTTTTCTTGTTTTCCTCCTCCAAAAACTAGGTGCGTCTTGTGGTCTGGTGCGTCTTATAGAGCGAAAAATACGGTAAATAGTTTTTTCCTAACAACTCTCAACAACATTAGCAAACTATAGTTCCCAGAATTCTTTGGGTGAAGCCACAACTGTTTAAAGTGAGATGGAACTGTTTTGTGCAGATGGAGCCTATGTAGGGATTTGCACATGTCTCCCCCACCCTCTTTCTTAGGCTGTATATACACTCTTGTTTATTTTGCAACCAGTGTGCTCCCACTGCTGGATTGAGAAGCCATGTACACATAATGTTAGCAACAATGCATATCTATCCTGTGTCTATCCTGTCATTCCTTACGAAATGCTACATTTTGATAAGTTTTTGTCCAAACCAGCTTTGATCCGAATTGAAGAAAAGAGCAAAGCAACCTAGCGGTGCTTGAAGCTGTATACTTAGCCCCAGTCCAATACTCTTAACAGTTAAAGTGGGGAAATCTGTGTCTAACCACTACACCACATTGCCTGTTTGTATGTACTGTAAAGGCATCAGCAATTTGTGGGCCTTGTTGTATCCTCCCAGCTGACTCTGCTTGAGCTTCTAAAAGATGAGCCAGAGACTGTGTACACACCATACATTTAAACCACATCCAGCCCACATTTAAAGCACATGGCTTCCTCACAAGGGAAGTGTAGTTTGTTAAGGGTGCTGGGATTTGTAAATCTGTGAAGGGTTATACTACAGATCCTAGGATTAAATGTATGGTGTGTCTACACAGCCAGAGGTTCCTGCTTAGAACTTAAAGAAGGAAAAGGGATTCCCTGGAATACAGGTGGGCCATTTACAAGTCATAACTAGGAAATGGATCCCCTGAAATTTCTGTTAAATCAGCTAATGGGATGGGAGGAGGCAGCAGATTCCAGGCTAACACGGCCAAGGAGGTACGTTTTTTGACCTTTCAGGAGCAGACACTCTGCATCTGGGATCAGCCTTGACTGCCATTGGTGAAAGCGTGTTCTCATTCAAAGAGAGCACGTGTTGGGGTGGGGGTCTGCCAGGCCACCCCTCTGTTGCCGGGCGGGCAAGTATAGATGGTCTTTGGCAATGATTGGTTTCCGGAGTTGCTGGGGCAATTTTGATGTTTCCCATTTGGGGGAGGGATCAGAGGTTTTAAATGCAATGCACACAGGATCGAGCTCCTCTTTCGCTGCGTGCACCGGATCACCCGCCCACCCTCCCTAATTTTAGGTCTTGGGTGTTGACCTTGCTATGCCCGTCATGGGGTCGTCTGCCATTGGGGCAGGGGCCTGGTAGGAATTTTGTCCATTTGGCTGATTGGCTGGTGCCATTTGGTTTTTGCCTACTGCGTAGCAAATCGTCACAACTTATAAGGTTGTGGTTAGGCATTGGTTAAAAAATTGGTTGGTGGAGGGGTAAGGATTGGCTGTGCCTGCCCCTCCAGTGCTGCTGCAGCAAGGGAATTCCGTTAAAGGAATTCAGGGGCTCGCCATGCTTTCGTCCAAATCTCTGGAATCGGGTTTGGGCCACACAAGCCCCTGGGAACATGCGGGGAGAGGTGAGGGCCTGTGGCACAGCTCCATTTCTTCCCAATATTGTTTCCCCTTACTGGCTTTCGCTGGAATCCGGAAGTCAGTTCTTTCCCCAGGCACGGGGGACAGATAGTCCTAACCAATGCCTAAGCAACCACTCACATTTATGTAATTTAATAAAGTTGTGGCCAAAATTATGCCAAAAATCTATGTGAATTGTGTTTTATTTGGGGGATGGCATGGGGACCTCGACACACAAATCTCTTCTGCAGAAACAATGCCATAAACATCATGCAAAAGAGACACTCAAGCCATGCAAATAAGATGCTGTCAGTCCGGCCAGGTAGGCGAGTGAAGGACGTAAAAGCAGAGAAATATGGTATTTTGCCAGCTTTGGGACGTGAAGCTCTTCAAGTCATTTGTAATAGTCTTCCATTATACGTGGGGGAGTGTTGCTTTATGTCTTTTAAGGCGAAAAACTAGTCTGGGCAACACCAAAATAGAAGGACAGAGAAAGAAGAGTTAATCCCAGTGGAATGAGTCACTCCGGCTCTGGGATTGGCAGAAAGAGGCGGTGGAGATGAGAAGTTCAGCTGCCACAATGCAGCAAGATGTTTTGCGGCTTGGCTTATGACAGTTTAACTGCCGCACAGCCGAAAGAATGGGGGTGGGAGAAACAACAAATTGCTATATTCAAATGCTTGGCAGCCTACAGCTCCTGGTGTTTTATGCAAAAAAGAGGAGAGAAAAAACAGCAATAATCTCTTCCACCTGCCATTAGTAGGGTGAGTGCATTTTGCTCTTCTTTCTGGGCTGCCTTTATGGTGTGCAATATAAAGGCAACGAGAAGAAACCTAAGCCCTGGCTGTGCAAGGCCGCAGTGCCTTCCAGATGGTGTTGGACTCCAATTTCCATCAGTCCCAGCCAGTATGGCCAATAGTCAGGGTTGATGGGAGATGGAGTCCCACACCATTGGGAGGTCGCCATATTGTTGGCTACCCTTGGTTTAAAATATTTATATGCTGCCTGTTTCGAGGCAACTCAAAACAGACATACAATAAAATACTCAGAGATAAACTACTGGGAGACACAGCAACTAATGAGGGCGACCAAGATGATAAAGGGCCTAGAAACCAAGCTTTATGAGGAACAGTTGAGGGAGTTGGGTATGGTTAGCTTAGAGAAGAGATTGAGAGGAGTTAGGAACCCAAATATCTAAAGGGTTGTTTTGTGGAAGATGGAGCAAGCTTCCTTTCTCCTGCTCTGGAGGCTAGGACCTGAATCAATGGCTCCAAGTTACAAGAAAGGAGATACCAGCTAAATATCAGGAAGAACTTTCGGATGGTAAGAGTAACTAATCCAGAATGCAGCAGCTTAACTGGTGACCGGGAGTGGCTGCCAAGACCACATAACCCCAGTCCTGAAAGACCTACATTGGCTCCAAGTACGTTTCCAAGCACAATTCAAAGTGTTGGTGCTGACCTTTAAAGCCCTAAACCAGGGGTCAGCAAACTTTTTCAGCCATGGGCCGGTCCACTGTCCCTCAGACCTTGTGGGGGGGGCTGGACTATATTTTGGGGAAAAAAATATGAACAAATTTCTATGCCCCACAAAAACCCAGAGATGCATTTTAAATAAAAGCACACATTCTACTCATGTATAAAAACACCAGGCAGACCCCACAAAGAACCCAGAGATGCACATTCTACTCATGTAAAAACATGCTGATTCCTGGACCATCCGCGGGCTGGATTTAGAAGGC